ATTTCTCCATCAACGAAACATGAGTGTCCGTAGACAATGTCACATCATCCTTCCTCCCTTTAAAAGAAACCGTCCTCGGTTTTGATCTATGCCTTGTAGATTTTTTCTTGAACACTTCAATAGTACATTTTATTTCTTTTGCATCTTTGGGAGTAATAGCATAGAACTCACCCTTATGCATAAAAGTGTATCTGTTTGTTCGTCCATGATGAAGAGCGTTCACATCATGTTGTCACGGACGCCCCAAAATAAGATGACAAAAATGTAGTGGCATAACATCACATTCCACTTTGTCAACATAGCCATCAACAGAAAAGGGCACCTTCACCCTGTGTGTTACTTTCACTTTGCCCACATCATTTATCCACTTCATATAGTATGGTTTTGGATGCTCCCATGTTGGCAACGAAAGAGAATCCATCACATCCTTGCTAATCATGTTGCTAGCACTATCGCCATCAATTATCAGTTTGCACACTTCTTTATTGATTGTACATGTAGTTTGAAAAATACTTCGTCGTTGTCCTGGTTCGAAAATGACCTTATCATCTCGCTGGACCTTATGTGCTAGCAAACTCTCCATATTAGGATCATCTTGAGGATAACATAGTATGGTATCACCGTGACCTCTTTCGATTTCATCCACTAACTTAGGCGTCTCATCTTCAGATTCTGAAATATATTCCGCATCAAGAAATAGAACCCTTCGTTGATTGGAACATTCATGCTTCATGTATCTACGACCTCCACACTTGTGGCAAATAATATTACGATGATGAGATGACGTCGCACTAGATGAAACCTGAGAAACCTCCTTAGGCGCAGCCGCCACTTTGCTCTGTTCAATGCTTCCGGACTTATAAGATGGAGTCGGTTTAGCACTAAACCCACCATCAATAGGAGAAGAACCACGTCGCCCACTGTTGTAAGTTGGACGAGTCTCTGAAGCTTGCTTCTCCAATACCCAACGTTCAGCATGCTCCGCTTGATGAAGCAACTCATGAATATCATTATATTGCATTAAATCAACACGGCCACGAATCTTTTCTTCTAACCCCTCAAAGAAACGTACCATGGTCGCCTTCGCAGACTCACGCACAGCTGTACAGATCATCAAAACTTGCATCTCCTTATAGTATTCATCAATTGATTATGTACCTTGCACTAGACAACGCAACCTACTATGTAGCTGGCGAGTGTAGTAAGCAGGCACAAAACATTCCTTCATGATTCGCTTCATGTCAGCCCATGTCCCTGGTCGCTCGTGAGTATGGTTCTTATTATCCCACCATACAAGAGCATACTCTGTAAATTCCATAGATGCAACACGAACCTTCTTCTCTTCGGAGTAGTTGTGACCGTCAAAAATCTGATTTACGCGCATCTCCCACTCCAAATATTTCTCCGGGTCAGCACAACGTCTAGAGAATTCAAGTATGGTTATCTTGATTCGACCCAAACCATCATGCTCGTGGGCACCATCGCCGCCATGGTCACGGCGCCCCCCAGCATGGCGGTGAGCCCCAACATCATGCCGTGGTCGGTGAGGCAAGCCTCCACGGGCATCAGAATCCTCAAAAGAATCACCATCATCATCGTTGTCACGGTCACGATGTCATCGTGGTGAGCGGGACTGTCGGGGTGCCACATCTCTCGCCTGAAGGTGCTGAATTGCTGCAGTGAGCCGATTAAGACTCTCGGTCACCACCTGTAGACTATCAGTGCGCTGTCGGTCGCTGGCAGTCAAACGCTCGTTCAACCTGTCCTCGACGCCTACAATATTTGCAGACAATTCCTCAACCCTTGTCCCAAGCTTCTTGTTGGCTCCCTTGATCGACATCAGATGGATATGCAAAATCATCACTTATCTCCAGATCCTCTGGAAGTTCATCACCCTCCTCATGATCAGATTTCTCATGCTGCGAATTCACCATCTTTCAAGCAATTGAATAAAATAGCAGAAAAAAATTGTACCGTGATCAACCTTGCTCTGAATATCACTTGATGCGACCGTCGACAGAAAAACAACGGCACGAATAATTTGCCCAATCTTTCACGGTACGGTGTCACTGAAACGGTGTGGCGCTCGCGATCTTGTAGATGCAATCACCACGAAAACAACACGCACACCCAAAAAAAGTACGTGGACGATCTTCAATAGATCAGCAGAAATTGAAACCTAGAATCAATTTCAAACCAAAATCACAAAGCCTCAAAAGCTATCAACAAATATTCTGTAACGTCCTGAAGATACGCCGACTTGCCAATCTATCCATTGTTGAAAAATAGCCAAAAGAAAAAACTACCCGCACACGGCCGGCCAGCCAACCCTTTATATAGGCGATAAAAATTGTACCGACTTAAACAAGGAAACAGGCATACAGACTCTTTCTCTTCTATCCTAACAAATCAAATCTTAATTAATTTAAGTATCCGGCCACGTGGAACACGAAAGTCCAAAACGGACTAGTACTTTGACAACCACATGCATGCACCCTCGTGAATCTTTATACTGTTACTTCAAAAATAGTTGGACTCAATATTTGCCAATCTGTATTACCTGTACCTCCGAAGCTAAACACGGCCTGGTCGTACTTTGTTTTTCATAGAACTGACAGTAACAATTTGATTCTTTTTGTCATGGCGTTTAGCTGGTATGACATATTTCTCCATCAACGAAACATGAGTGTCCGTAGACAATGTCACATCATGCGTGGTTCCTTCAACCACATGAAACTGTAACGATTCCTTTGAAAATAAAGAATCCTAAAAAAAAAATGCCGTGCCTGGGTGGGCCGTGCTGTGCCTGGCGCGTATAGCCCAGGTCGGGTCGTGCCAAGTTGGCTAGGTTGTGTTTGGAATATTCCCCGGTCCATCACTCTTCTCCCGTTTCTCAAAAAAAATTAAAAAAAAAATGTATGTGGCAACCGTGTGGCAGATTGCACTGCCACACCCATCGAGTGCCGTGAGATCCGACCGCCCTCCCTATTTCCTTCATTTCCCGCACGTCCTCCCCGACCGCCCCGATTTCCTTCCTTTCCCGTGCCTTCCTAATTTTCATAATCATGCCCCACGCGCTTTCCCGATTTTCAGGCAAAAATAATGCTTGGATTGAGATTTGATCTCTGGTCTGCAAGTAATCAATGAAGGGAGCTAACCACCTCACCTATGACACTCATTGTTGAACAAGCTAAGGGAAATACTGTATTTGACATGTTTTGCCTTTAATATGTTAGCACTGAATTTTTTTTTGTTTCGCCTATCAAACCTGGCACATAAACTTTTCCCGTGGTAAATTCTCCATCGCCACCACGATAAATGACGCACCACCAACTTTTCCCGTGGTAAATTCTCCATCGCCACCACGATAAATGATGCACCATCAACATGATAACTTTTGTATACCACACGGTACATTATGTGTAAGTAGCATGGTCATTAGCACTGAAGGTGTGATAACTTTGGTGAAAGCATCGTGGTAACTTTGATCATTGGGAAGAAATTTGTTGAACCCGCCCCCACCCCCATCCCCGGTAATTTCTGTAAATAGCGCGATAAAATTCACGCCATAGAGCTAATAATTTAGATACAAACATCATGATAACTTTAACCATTGGGGAAGAAAAATGTGAAAAGATACCCGATAATTTATGTGTAAATAGATGGTAATATACGCAGAGCACATCTGATAACCAAGGTAGGAACACCATGGTAACTTTGACCATATGGATGATTTGTTTTGAAAAGATACTCCGGTATCTTATGTGTAAATAGCACGGTAGTATACCTCCCTCCCCTGGTATTTTTATGTGTAAATAGAAACATGTGCATTGCGATAACTAAACACCATGATAAGTTTTTTTTACCCGTGGGGGGATTTTTTGTGTGTAAATAGCATGATATTTTAAACACTGCGGGTTTGATAGGTTACCTAGAATCACCATGATAACTTTTTGTCCCGGGAAAAAGTTGTTCAAAACATCCCCGATAATTTTTGCCAAATAAAAACAAGTTGTTCAAAACATACACTCGCCTTGCGGGGTCTCTTGGATGAACACAACACATGTCGTGCCACGAGAAAGTCACATAATATTTAGTGTCATGAGGGGCACACGTGCTCGTGGGTTGGCCCAGAAAAACGGCCTACTTTGATCCGCTATAGGCGTGATAAGTTGCGTAAAAACATCGTGGTAATTTGATCTATGGAAAAAGCTACCGAAACACATCCATGTTTTTAGGTGTAAGTACCATGATAATATACGAACTGTTGACCCGGTAACTCATGTACAATCCCACATGGTAACTTTTACCGGGGGGAGGTTGATGTATACACACCCTGATAACTTATGTGTAAGTACCACGGTATTTTACACATCGAAGACCATATAACTTGTGTACAAACACAATGATAACTTTGAAAGGGGTGTAGTTGTTGAAACATAGTACCTGGTAAGTTTTATGTAAATAGCACGGTAATTTACACAACACATGTCTGATAACTTGCATACAAATACCATGGTAACTTTGACTGAGGGGAAATTGTGGCAATTTTCTGTAATAACACAACTGTAAAAAAAGGGTCAAAACGATTAGTTTCTTTAGTTTGAGCAACAAATATCTAAGAATGAGTTGGTTGTGGTGGCGCGCTTTGGTGCCAGTGAGTTGTGGGTTCGAATTCTACATGCGCAATATTTTTTATCATGTGGTAGACGTGAAGAAGTGGTAGTTTCCTCGGGCGTGGGCGCGTGAGATTTACGGGAGAAGCAGGTTTCTCGGGCAAGCCTGCGAGGTCATTCAGAAGGAGGCGTGGTCGAAAGAAGGGGGGTCGTGTGATACTTTGAAGTGAAAGAAGTATAAGTGTAACAGTTTTGCTTATATAACACACATGTGCCAAATATCACATTCCTAAAAAAATCACTCGTCTCCCCGGTTGGCTCCAAGCCTCCAACCCAACCACAGCGGGAGCGAGCAGCCGAGCACGCGCGCGCGCTCCAATATCCATGGACGCCTGCTGCCTCGTCCGCCGGCATCTTCACCAACCGCTGCAGCTTCCGCCCCTCCAGTGTCTGACTCTGGGCCGCTGCTGCCGCCGCCGGCGCCGCGGCGTAGCCATCGCCGTCGCCTTCTGCTCAACGGCGCCTGACCACCACCGGGAGCGGCCATGGGAGTCCTACGACCGCGACATCCAGCCCCGCGCGGGCTCCGATCTGGCCCGCTCGCTCCAACTCCTCGCGGACATGCAGGCCGCCGGGATGCGCCCCAGCGCCGCCGCCTACGCGCGCCTCATCCGCGCGCTGGCCCGCGCCGGCCGCACGCTCGAGGCCGAGGCGCTCCTCCTCGAGATGCGCCACCTCGGGCTCCGCCCGGACTCCGCGCACTACAACGCGCTCCTCGAGGGCCTCCTCGCGAGGGCGCACCTCCGCCTCGCCGACCGCTTCCTCCTCCAGATGGCCGACGACGGGGTCGCGCGGAACCGGCGCACCTACATGCTCCTGCTGGACGCCTACGCCCGCGCCGGCCGCCTCGAGGACTCGTGGTGGGTCCTCGGCGAGATGAAGCGCCGGGGGATCCGGCTCGGCACCGCCGGGTACAGCACGCTGGTGCGGCTTTACAGGGACAGCGGCATGTGGAAGAAGGCCACCGACCTCATCATGGAGATGCAGGAGGTCGGGGTGGAGCTCGACGTTAAGATTTACAACGGCTTGATCGATACGTTCGGCAAGTACGGGCAGCTCGCCGATGCGCGCAGGGTGTTTGAGAAAATGCGTGGGCAGGGTATCAAGCCGGATATTGCTACGTGGAACGCTTTGATTCGATGGCACTGTCGGGTTGGGAACATGAAGCGTGCCCTGCGATTCCTTGCTGCCATGCAGGAGGAAGGGATGTACCCGGACCCAAAGATCTTCATTACGATCATCAGCAGGTTGGGGGAGCAAGGGAAGTGGGATGAGCTCAAAGAGCTGTTTGATAAAATGAGGAATCGAGGGTTCAAGGAGAGCGGTGCAATATATGCAGTTTTGGTCGACATTTACGGTCAGTATGGCCATTTTCGCGATGCCCAGGAATGTGTAGCTGCTCTTAAAGCTGAAAACCTGCAGCTCTCGCCTAGTATCTTCTGCGTCCTGGCGAACGCTTATGCTCAACAGGTTAGTACTACTGGAAATGGAGCAAACCAATTTCATAGTGAAATGATATGTTCTTTAATATATTCCAGTGCATGCTAAGATTTCCTGTCAAAACAATGATGTTAAGTCTCCAGAAGAATTAATAACACAAACCGTAGTTCTGGTCCTAGAATAGTGATCGGCTATAAATAATTCACTGGAAGTCCAACTTTTTTCTGCTTAAATCGTTTACACCAAACAATTAGATTGCCATGGCAAATAATTACATCTGTTAGGTAGATCTTGCCTTTTGTGTTTGCAGAAACATAATTGAGCCGACTTGCAACTTCTTTTTTGCCATGTGGTACATTAGCTTATCCAAAACAGTATGCCCCAAGAGTGAGTAGTTTGGCATTACTTGCTACTATATGGTTGTAATAGTATAAAAATCTTGAAATGTAGCCATTGTAGTTGTTTTCCCCTTCAAAAGAAGCTTAATTGGTACCGTTAACATCAATATGTATCTGCCTCTTAGTACTTGACATTCTGAAAGTTACATCGAAAAATTACAGTACCATTACATGCAACTATATTTGCTAGGTAGATTTTGCATTTTGTGTTACCTTGAGCTGATTTACATGAACTATTTTCCATCTAGTTTAGCGAGTTAGCTGATTCAGGGCTACCTGTGAGTGAGTACTTTGGCATAGCTTGCTACTGTGCATGAATAATTATTTTGACTGAAACTTTGCATGAATATTGAGTTTTGTCAGTTTAGTCGCCTTTTCGCTGATCTCAAAACCATCAATTCCTGTCTGTCCTTTTCATCTTGTGCGCATCATATTGCTTTGGCTTTCCCATTTCAGGGTTTGTGTGAACAAACTGTAAGTGTTCTTCAATTGATGGAGGCAGAAGGAATTGAACCAAATCTCGTTATGTTGAATTTGTTAATCAATGCTTTTAGTACGGCTGGAAGGCACTCGGAGGCACTAGCTGTATTCCAGCATATCAAGGACAGTGTACGTACTTTCTCCTGAATGAGAACGTTGTTATTTTTATGGTTCTTGTTTGGGTGCCATGATTTTACTTTCTTTGCACTCTCTCTTACCACTGCTTATTCTTTCTCAGGGTATGAGCCCAGATGTTGTGACTTACACTACTCTAATGAAGGCTTTCATGAGAGTAAAAAGATATGAGAAGGTCCGCCTGCTGTATTTGTAGTTTTGATTACTTCAGTTGCTTAAACATCCATATCCTTTGTTGCCAACAGAAAACCTTACTTGGTAAAAACTATGGGATTTTTTCAGCTATTAACTCTTAACTATAGAAGAGTTCTTTTTGGGTGACATGCAATTGCAACTCTCTCCTTAGCTAATGAAGATTTAATTTTCTTGATATGGTGCCAATTATGATTATATATATTATTGAGATTTTGAACCATTAGAGAAATCTACGTGCCTGGATAATTTGACGAGCTTGAAATAGTTTTCTCATTTTCTTGAACAGGTTTCAGAAGTATATAGTGAAATGGAGCGTGCTGGCTGTACCCCAGATAGAAAAGCTAGGGAAATGTTGCATGATGTGTCTGTTACACTGGAACAAATGGGATGTAAGTGTTTCATTTGCACTTTTGCAGCTGTTTTCTTGTGGTTTTCGAGGATGTATTGGTTGACGCATGCTTTGCCAGGTTATTGAAATTGGAACCCCAGCAGCTCTGAAGTGGCTCTTATGTTAATGTCTATAACTACAAGAACCCCTACTTTGCTAGCACATGCTTGATGGATCTCTTGTAAAGTAAAATGTAAGTGCGCCGATTGTATTTACTCTGAATTTGCATATAAATGGTTCTCCGGCTCTCCTAATCTCGTAACACTTATGATGTCCTTTTGCATGAAGTTGCCCCTTTATATATTTTTATTTTCTTATATAAGTTTTTTGGGGAATAGTTTGGATTGCTTACCACATGTGTCACGTGGTTATTTTCTTATCAGTTTTGCTAAAGCACATCTAGATATGCTGAATAGGATGAAAACAACTTAAATAGTACCTTGATTAGGACAAGGAAGGTTAGGCCTCAACTTAATATTATCTTCCAAATTGAGGAGCTCCTGCGCTCCTGATTTCTTTGAATTGAAACAAAAAGTGTTCGAACGGCTTCAACTTCTGTGAAGTATAATAAGTGTTGTGCAGATGTTCATTTATCACTTACTCACTTCGTATTTGAAGGCATGGTTCTCACACTTTGGCCCTTTTTAAAATGGCAGAACATGGGACAACAATTACTTTGCACACAGAAAGTTCTAGTCCACGTGCTGTGTTTCGTGGAATCTGTAGAATCTCCCTCTGGCATTTTCTCCGCTGGAGATCGTTTGTTGTGGAATAATAATGGGGCCAGCAAACACAAGATTCAGAACAACAGTGATCCTTCCTCAGTTTTAGTTAAGACTGGAGCTCTGAGGTCGAGCATAAGTTCATATCATTCGGCGCCTGCATATTTCTGGCTCCACAATGCAGGTATGCAAACAAACAAACAGCCCATTGCTATTACATCCATTTACGACGTAGGATCACCTGATATGTGCTTGCCTTTGTACTGGAGTTCAGATTTCATAGTCGAGGAAAGAGTTGAAGGAGACTTTCGGGGATCTGGACAAGGAAAAAGATGATGAAGTGTATCATAAGTTTGGAATTCCATTCATTGCCCTCTTCCTGAACCACACTGCATCGTCGTGGTTTTCAGAATATTAGGTGTACTGGGCATTGACTTGTATATCAGGATAGCTTATGAAAACAATCATCTTCGGAAGTAGACAACTCAGATGATTCTCTCTAACCATTTTCATAGAGCTACTTTCTTTGTCTTCACTTTACATTCCTCTGCTTCCGCCAATAGACTGTGAACTCAAAATAGGATCAAATAATTAGGTTAAGTGTCACTGTCCCTGTGTTTGTCTGTGTGCTGCAATCTCTTTAACTGTCCAGTATTATTCTTTCGCCCAACTTGTACTTGTACTAAATTTACTAATAGGCAGATTATATCTTTGTCAAGTTCTGTACCTTGGTGCATGTAATGGTGGTTGTGGTTTGTGATTCTAGACATAACTCGTAGTAAGAATAAGAAACAAGAACAGAAGATCCAACATTTCCATACACCTCTGTTCGTCTAAAACAGCAGAATTTATATCCTTCTTTCTGAAGCCCAACTCATATAGTAGCTACTATGCATTGCAACCTAAACATCTTCATATATATAGTTTGTTTGTCCAAGCCAGGGAAATTTCCAAAGAGATGAAGCGGAAGCTTTGGAACATAAGGAAAGCAGAGCAGATCTCTCTTCACTTGAGCTCGTCGTCGTCGTCGATGTCGCTGTCGCTGAGCAGGTCGTCAATGGCGTCCGTGTGCGTCATGCGCGCGGAGGCCTGCTTGACCCACCGCGCCATCTTGGCCGTCTCCCTGCTGACCTTGACCTGCTCCTCGAGCGCCTTCTTGAGCTTGCGCTGCTGCTCCTTGAGCTCCGTGACCATCTTCCTGTTCTCGTCGCCCCACTCGCCGGCGTCGATGCCGAGGACGTCGTCCGGCGCTCCTCCCACGCGGTCCTTCCTGCTCCGTGCGGTCGGGGCCCTCTGCGGGGCCTTCTTGGGCGAGAAGGGGAAGCAGCACGCCTGGCGCGGCGGCGGCGGCGACAGGGAGCCGTCGTCGTCCCTGCCCCTGTTCCGCTCCCTCAGCGTCGGCCGGCCGCGCCCTGGCCCGAAGAGCCGCTCCAGGTCCTCCTCCTCGTCGTCCTCTCGAACCGCGGGGACGCTCTTCTTAGAAGGATCAGCCCGCGGCCGCGGGGGAGGGCTATGCTCCTTCGCCTCTTGGCTCGCCGGGGCGACCGGCGCAGGGGGGTCCGTTTGCGGTTGCGGGAGAGGGTCGGCAGCAGGATCGTCGCGGCGCTGGGGCGGCGCGGTGGCGCTCCGGCCCAGGGTCTTGGCGGGCGGCGCGGGGGCAGCGGTGGGGAGGGACTTGAGCTTGCGGAAGCGGGACTCGAGGCTGGACGGGAGGGCCGAGTCGTCGAGGCCGGCGAGGTGCGCCGTGTTGAGCCTGGCGATCTGCTCCAGCGCGACCAGGTCGGCCACCTCCGCGAGGATGGCGTCCACCGCCGACATCCCGCCGCCGCCAGCTCCCTTGGAGTACGCCATGGCCGGACCCGAAGGCGCCGCGAGGTGGGGATCAGGAGTTCAGGACTGAGCTCTGCAGGAGTGTGAAAGAAAGAGTGTGGGTGCGGCCGGTTCGGGCGGCGTGGGCGTGGGCGCGGCCGGTCAGTGTCTGGGCCGGAGAATTAGTGGGCGAGGGAGGAGGGGGCGCGGTGCCGTTTTGTCACGTCCGGCGCGTGGTGGAGCCCCGGACCACCTTTCCCAGCTCCGCTCCACCTCGGATCTTTTGACCGTTGTGTGCCCCGGGCTGTCTACGCGCTGGCTGCGTGGAAAGGCGCGTCACCGCCTTCTCCGGCACCGGCAGGGCACGCTGCTCCGGCGGCCGTGGAAACTCGGTCGGTTTCGTCGCGTGACCCGGCGCCAGCACTCCGGCTTATATGCGACAGTGCACGATCAAAAGGTTCTTTCCTCGTTCCAAAAAGGAAATTGTTCTTTCCTTTTCAGTAGAGATGAAAATTGGCAGGCTTGGTAAGATCCAGAGCACGCCAGACGTACATGCATGGATACATTGATCCACCAACCGTATCCATCCATGTAATCAAGGGCGAATCAGGCTGCAATTCATTGGAATTACTGCCCAGAGATTCGGGGCTTCGGGCACGTTTTTATGGGGAAAACATGACGTGCTGTTTTTTTTTGGAGTTGGAGCATGATCGACATTTGAGATTAGGACATTTTTGAAGTTTCATATAAGCCCCCTCTTCAATGAAGAGAGAGGAGATAAGGGGGGAAGAAGGAAGAGTGGGCTTGTGATGAGGTCTAAGGCAGAGTTGGCGCCATAGAGGCGTAGACACGTCCGAACTCCCCTATTCCCCCCCTTAATTCCGGGACAAACTAAGGAATTTTGGATGCTCGAGCATATCTGTGGACATTTGAGGGTTAATGTTGGAGGCCTAAAAGTGGTTGTACCATCCGGTTCAGACGTATAAGGGCGAAGTAGCGAATAGCGTTGGAGATGCCCTTACACAACGACTTGGTAAATAAGTTTGTGGTAAGGTGAGAGTGGGCCTTTGACAGTGTCGACATGCATCAGTTCTCTTGTTCAGTCTGTCTGATCTGGACAAACAAGAACAAAGTAGGGGGCGTCCTTGAAGATGCCATTAGATTCTACTCATCTTTATAGAACGTCTTGTCTCGTCTAGTCGACCGAATTTGTCTAGATGGTGCTTCTGAAAAAAAAGACATCCAGTTGTATTTTACTTTTTATATAAAAGAGCCCTTCTCCCTCTGGTTTCATTTACTTGAAACCTTTTTTTTACAAAAGATAGAGCTAAGACAAAGTTCAGATGGGAAGGCTAAAGCTCAGCTAAGGGACTACATCCAAATCGAAGTGCAAACGGGCTTAAATGTACCATATCTTACAAGTCCATATGACAAAAAGTGAAGTTCTTCCGGAAGGAGGAAAGGAACTCGGGGGAGACTTGTATGAGATCTCACATTAGGTGAGATCATGAGATCAGCCCCAAAAATTCATATTTAGGCATTTCAAAAAAAGTGAAATTATTTCACAAC